TGTCCTTTGTTTGGATTCAGGAAAAGGTGAGTTTCTTACATGTTCTCCAGAACAAAACCCAAACTTGTTTTATGCAGTTCTAGGAGGGTTAGGTCAATTTGGGATTATAAACAGAGCCAGAATTGTCTTGGCTCCTGCACCAAAGAGGGTAAGTACATATAATAAAGTGCATGCAGCCTATATATAAATAATTGTTGAATTAATGGGTGGTGTATGCTGCAGGCTAAATGGGTGAAAATGGTTTACACCAATTTTGATGCATTTTCAAAAGATCAATTAGCTTTCATTAATCCAAACTCAGGAAAATATTATCTTGAAGGTTCTCTTCTTCTAGACAATGGTTCTCCAGATGTCTCCTTTTTCCCACCTGATGATCAATCAAAGATACTTCCTCTAATCAAACAACATGGTATCCTCTATGTCATTGAATTTGCCCAATATTATGATGATGCTACCAAGACTATTACTGAAAAGGTACATATACTTATGAAAATTAAAATTATAATGTAAAGTATTTCAAAAATACAGATGAATCTGAAGATTATTTCTATAATTTTTAACAAAAAATTAAAATAAACGAATAATAACTATAAGATCTTCTAACTTACATCCTTGTAATTATTTTGAGATTATTGTTGTTGAGTCGAAATTTCTAATTGACTCATCTATATTAATATTTATTATTTTTTTGATTTAGGAGCTTCAACAATTAATGGACGAGTTTAATGGAATCATATATGCCAAAGATGTGTTCTATGCAGAGTTTTTGAATAGGGTTAAAGCTGAAGAAGAATTTCTAAGGTCACAAGGATTATGGGAGGTGCCCCATCCATGGTTGAATCTCTTCGTACCAAAATCTCGAATAAAAGATTTCAATGATGGTGTTTTCAGAGATATTATTCTTAAACGCAACATCACTAAAGGACTTATCCTCACTTACCCTATGCATCGAAGCAAGTAAGTTTTTATTCTAAGCCTCTCAACATCTATATAAACATAATAATTATATAAACTACGTATAAGTTGATTCAACGTATGAATTTAATTTGACGTATGAGACATAAAACCATGCAGATGGAATGATAAAATGTCAGCGGTGATACCGGATGAAAAAGAATTCTACACTGTAGGATTCTTGCAGTTGAGCCAGCGTGATAATTTGAAGATGTATGATGATCAAAATGATGACATCATACGCTTCTGTGAGAGTGCTGGTATTCAAGTTAAACATTATCTTCCTCAATTCAAAACTAAAGAAAAATGGAAGAAGCATTTTGGGTCCAAGTGGAATACTTTCAAGGAGATGAAAGCTTTGTTTGATCCCAAGATGATTTTATCGCCAGGACAAAATATTTTTAACTGAAGCATAATGAAATAGATCGTGTGCTTTTAATATTAGAAACCTTAATTTTGAAATGATTCTAGTCACTGATCATCACCAAGTTCATTTTTTACTGCAATTAACTGATGATCACTCCTATCTTTCTTAATAGTTACATAATTAATTAACTCTAATATTTCTACATGTAGATGAATACAAGATGTACAGTCTATAGTGAGTGTAATATGAGGTTAGATAAGATAAAATTTGGAAAACAATCAATCATACATATAGGTGAATATTAACGTCCTTTATCGTTAACAATATCCTTAATTAAAAGTAGTCTAGGGAGGAGTTGTTGCTTGTATCAAAGCTGAAGAAAGGGTGGCGAACATATAAATGGACCACTTGGCCGCGATTGGAAATGAAAATAGTATATATTTGTCCGTTCATCATGCATTATGTTAATGCATTAATAAATTTATTTATATTTTATGATAATAAGAGAAATGATAAATAATATATCTAGCCTATGTATTCTTTATTATTAAAATCAAATTTATACACTCTACTATTGTACAGAATATAAATTAAAAAAAAATTATTGTTGTTATTATTATTATTATTATACAGAAAATAATATAAATATAATATTATGCGAACTAACTAAATATAAATAAATTTTTTTTAATAAAAATATAAAAAGAAATACTATTTATAAGATGAATTACTATTTTAATTCTTAATCTGTAAACTATTTTTCATTTTAATTTCTAAGTATATATATATATATATATACATTTAAATTTATCTCAAATTTTCAACACTTTTCTAACATAAGGTAAAGTGAATAACATCATAAATTTTATTAGAAAAAAATGGAAACATTAAAACATGCATGGATGACCTAAAAATGAGTTTTTGTACACATGAATACTCTAAGTTGGGACTTCAACTTAATCAAGTTGTAACCTCCTCTACTCCAGAGGAGCTACAGATGTCGGTGCGCATAATTCCACAGACGAATTTATAATTTAAATTCATAATCGTCCATCGAATGATGCGCAACACTTTTATTATATTTTTAATGTCCTTATTGTAATGCCCCGAACCCCGATAATGAAGTACAAAAACTACTCATATTATTCATCATCCAATGGGCCTACAAAACATACATATGCATAATTCAAAAGTTTAACATAAAACTCAACATCTCATGTGATATATACAGTATTTATATATACAGAATATGAGGTCAAAATATAGAGTTTTAACAAAACAAGATAGTAATCCTAGAATATAAATAAAATATACAGTAACTAAAACACTTTCATAAATTTT